CACTCTTTCATTAAATATGATGCCTTGAACTGAAGCTCCAGTTCCATTATTTGCTATTTTTCAGGTAACATATTTAAAAATTACAAGTTCTCCTACTGAACTGATGCTTCTGCTTTGGGAATTAAGAATCTGTTTTCTCACAGCTAAATTATCAACTAGAGTAAATGGTTTTGCATAATGGTGATTATATAAATTGATTCCTACTGATTTTTGGGAGAGGTTTAGAGTAAAACAAATAATGTGATGAGGGAGCATATTTTACTATGAAAATTACTTAATTTTACTTAGGCATTGGGATTGGTTTTTTCTTCATTTCTTCAATAATGGTAATATCTTATGGTTTTGTGAAACTCATTGTGGAAAACACACATTTTACTTTAGATATTTTAAACTGTAAGATAGTAATATGTTATATTTTTTTTATTTTTCCACACTCATTCTTTTAAGAATAAGCATACAACAGCTCAGTTCTTCAGATCCTTTTCCTAGCACTAGCCAAAAGGTACCATCTCTTTATAATGGATTACTTTACTGATAATGGTGAAGCTTAATATTTTAAAATTAGTCTATTTTTTTCCATGTAGTCAAGGTACACTAATTTACAAAAAACAATAATCCCATCTTGTCTGGAGGATGAAATGCAGGGATCATCATATGAATCTGAGGCAACAGCACACACTTTGCAGAAGAACCACTCCATCATTTGCGTCATCTTTCTGATGTAAAAGTATGCCCATTTTTTGCATTTAGTGTTTCAGGTTGAAGTGCTGATTTCAGCCTAAGTTATGACATTCCAAAAAATGCAATTGATGTACCAAAATGGAAACAAAAGTAGTGCCTGTAAGACTTGAAGTAATTATCCTGCCCTATTTAGACCTTGTAAGATCTCAGCTGAAATACTGAGTCCAGTTTTGGTTACCATTTCAAGAGATGAACTAGTGGAAGAGAGCTCAGAGGAAAATAATGAGAATGATCAGAGTTCTGTAAAACAAGATCTACATGGAAAGACTGAAGGAACAGTGATCATAGCCTAAAGAAGAAAGGCAGCAACAATCAGTTTGCAAATAAGTAAAAGGTGCTGCAAAAAGCAAGATTAGTACTGTGTTGATATGTAATGATTATGACAAGTGACAGTCTTAAATGGCAACAGAAGGATTTAGATATTTGCAAACAGTAAAGACAGATGCTGGAATAAATATTTTTTATGAGGTTGTGGAGTGTCCATCATTAAAAGTCTCTGAGAACAGGTTAAACATATATTAGAAATTACATATACAAAGCTGATTCTAACTCTTCTAATCCCTTGCAGTCCAAATATTCCACAAGGACTTTAAATTCTTCGGCTGAGACTTGTTTAAGATTTACTGTTGATTTATTGGTCCTCTGATACTACATTTTGATTTCACCATTGTAGTGTAAGTTGCCTGAACTTCATTTTTTTCTCTGGCCTCAAGATGAGAAAGTTGTTGCATACTGGATTTGCATCTCAGAATAATCATGGTCTTTGTAGTATTCCACTGTTTCAAAAGTGCAAGGGACCTCTTTTTCTTTAAGAAAATAATTATTTTCTCATTTTAAGTTCACTTCAGGATGATGCCAGCCGCTTTGTATGCTGCAAAAGCAAAGCCTTTTTGAAACTTCCACTAGAAATGAAACCTCAAGATGATGGAGATACAGCAATAATCATGGATGAAGTGTGTTCCATTCCCAACTTGTTTCTGCAGCTGGTCTCTGTGGCAAGGAATATGAAGGAAACAATGATCTGCAGCCTTGTTTAGCAAAAGTATAATAGGGATTAAATGAAAGAGAACTATCTCACTTCTTTGTTTTATTCTAGGCATAAGTGGATTAAAACCTGAGTAATTTTTACTTGGAGATATTGCCTAGTCAAAGGATAACTAATTGCTACAACAGAGAAAATTACTTTCTGTTTTGAACACCCAGATTAAACAGTCTATACCTCACTATCAAATATAAAAAATTACAGATTTTGGGCAGAGGCAATAGTTATAAAAGTTCACTAAATGCTGCCACCTCTGAGGCATATTAAATCTTTGATGCACATAAAACACATCCTCCTTTTACCAGTTTATCTCGGGACATATCTGAGGGATCTAGTCTCTGTAAACCACAACACAATATATTTAAAGTGAACATAGAATTACTAAATCAGGTAAAGTCTTTCAAAGTAGAGAAAAATCAAAATTCGGATTGATAGGAAAATACCTTTTCTGAGCTGATCAATTTTTTGTTTCCTTTGGTTGCCACCTTTCTGCCTGATTTGAGAAGGAGGGACTATACATCAGTCTTCATTGGTGGCAACTCAGTTACACAAGGCTGTTTCTCAGCTGTACATAGCCTTTGCAGTTGACGTGATTTGATGAACATTTAGACCACTAAAATGATAATGCGTTCTATCATTTGTGATAATTATTTAGAAATAAGTTAATTATACTTACTGCTTAAAATGTTAATGTAGAGACAAAAAAGGGGGATACGCAGCAGTGTATCTGATGAGAAGCTGCGAAGAAAGCCAAGAGAAAAAAAGTATTTAGAAATCTCATGTTATGCTAATTTTTCCTGGTGCTGTACTCAGTTGCTGGAAATAATATAAATTGTCTTCAAGCTCTATACTTAAACAGGTGTGTGCTGTTTACAGGCTACATTTAAAGGCTGGATGGATATTATGTATGCAGCTATTGACTCAAGAGATGTAAGTATTGCAAATATTTTTAATTATCTTTTTTTTCTTAAGGTCTATCTAGTAAAAAGTGTGTATTTATGTATCTTCCAAAAGCAATTAATGTCCATCCAATAGAATGAAACAAAATTAAATTAACTAATATAAGATTCTGCTGAAACAAATTGTGGAACACTGAAAGTAAACTGCCAGATGCTGTCAGTAATAGATGGAACGGACAAAATACATTGATGTAAGTCACAGGAGTGTTGTCCAAACAGAAAATATTAAGGACGTTTTGCACAAGGTTGCTGCTTGTTCAGTTGAAATTTTCACATTAAATCTTAGGAATTATATTTCGCTTTTTTTTTTTTTTTCTTAGATACTACAGCAACCCAAGTATGAAGACAACCTGTACATGTATTTGTATTTTGTCATCTTTATAATTTTTGGGTCTTTTTTCACCCTGAACCTATTCATTGGTGTCATTATTGATAACTTCAATCAGCAAAAAAAGAAGATAAGTATTTTTTCATTTCTCTTCTAAACATATTATAAAATATTGCATTTTTGCAGGTGCGTGATATATGGAATTTACACCCAAGGTTTGCTCAAAATTGAAAAAGCTGAAGTATATTAGGATACAAGATCTTGACAAGATGTAGTATGCGTTAACGTCGTAAGATTTTACATTGTAGTGAATGGGACAGACCCTTCTGTTTTCTATGTCCAGTTCAGTCTTCCTCAAGTCATCTGCTTTACTATGCCTAAACTTCATGAAATCTCCTTATATGATCAAACCACTGATTTATGCCTCCACATTAAAGCACTCATAATTTCTTGATTTTTTTTTCCTTCTTGATTTGTAGTGATTCTATCAGCGCGCGCACACACACACACACACAAAAAAAAAGTAGCTCCCTGGTTATGAAAAATAAAGCATTATTTCATCACACCACTACAGATGCTGTTTTAATGATCCCAAGTATTCAAGTTCTATTTTGTGGCACTGAATGATCTGAAACTATACAGAACAAGGGTGGTTTGTAACTATCTCAGGGCCTTTTTTTACTGTTTCATAGTGCAGGTGTAGATAATCTCACTGTTATGTATGGTCTGTGTATCAGATGCCCATCTTTAAAATTATTTTCTTTCCTAACTTTCTTTGGTTTTATGTTACTGGTGAGAGATGCTAAGTAAGATTTCTGGAAGCTGTACATGCTAGAGGCCTAGAGGTATACGGTTAGGGAGCCTGTCCATTGTACAGTGCATGCATTCCCATGTCTTCAAGCTTCCCAAACACTCATCCACCAAAGAGCTGCATCCACTCCTATGTGTTCGCAGGCATTTCTGGAATTAGATGTATGCAAGTATCTTTTATCTAGGAAAAATTTACTTCAAGAAGCATGTGGAGTCTGATGGGTTTTCATTCAAGCTGTCTCTACAAGAAAGTTACTATGAGCACTGGATTTTGTTTAGGTTGCCATGAAAGACCCATAATTCTCTCTTTATCTTCACTGGCAGACTCCAAAGGCCAGTTCTAGCTTTTGCAAATCAGAACTTCATTGAACATGGAAGCTAATCAAGATAAAAGACTTCGAGCATTTTGCTGTGAACAGTATCAAAAGTGCTTCAGTTTTCAGCTTAGTTTCTCCAAAGTCTGATAATCCATCTTCTCAAAAACCTTGAAGACTTTGAGTCCCAATGCTAATGTTGTGATTGCTAAACTGGAGATAACTAAAGCACTAACATGTTCATGTACTGAAAACCTGACTTTGTCTGCTTCCTTTGTGTCATTAAAATAGCAGTTCGGAAGTCACAGTACTGAGCAGCCCAGACTATTTGAGCTTATCTTGGATGCTGTTTCCTGTATCTCTTCCTATAAAAGAGAAGAGGTATTGAAAAGGATTTCTTGGAGTTCAAGGAAAATAACTGTAGGAAAATGCTGCATTACTGATTTTTGTGAGATGCAGTACTGGATGTCCAGAGAACTTCTGGACTAAATGCTTAGATTGCAGACAGCTGCATTTGATAGCTAAGAGATTTTTCTGAATTCAGTCTTCTTTATTTTCATTAAATAAATAAATAACATTTGTCTTTAACAGTTTTTTCAACACTGCATATAAATGTGATTATAACTAGTTTTGATTTCATGTTTTTACTTTGGAGGCCAAGACATATTTATGACAGAAGAGCAGAAGAAATACTACAATGCAATGAAAAAGCTGGGATCCAAAAAACCACAAAAACCTATACCAAGACCAGGGGTAAAATTATTTATATACATGAGACCAATAGCTATTTTCGAACAGCTCAGTTTTTATTGATATATAGGGAGCAGAAACATGCCCATGTGAATATTATTATTAACTAGTGTATCAGTCAGAAAAAAAGGAAAATGAAAACACAATAAAAAACCTATTCTTCCTTTGCAACCATTTTATGTATGAATATACAAACAAATGAGGCTGAACTAAGCTGTTATATTCACTTTAATTTGATTATTCTACTTAAGATCCCTAGTTACATTTTTATTGAAGTCTCATAGGCTTTACTGTATGTATTTTTCTACTTTCTTCTAACAGGAAAAGAAAAACAATTACATTTTGTATTGGATGTTTCTTTTTTTCTCTTCTCCTCAGAACAAATTCCAAGGCATGGTCTTTGATTTTGTGACACAGCAAGTATTTGACATCAGCATCATGATTCTTATTTGTCTTAATATGGTTACCATGATGGTAGAAACAGATGACCAAAGTAAAGAAATGGAAAATATTTTATACTGGATAAACCTGGTGTTCATTGTCCTTTTCACTGGAGAATGTGTCCTGAAATTAATTTCACTTCGCCATTATTATTTCACTATAGGCTGGAACATTTTTGATTTTGTCGTTGTCATTCTCTCAATAGTAGGTAAGTCTTGTTTATTAAACTAAAAAGAGGGTAAAATGAATATAAGATCAACTTTTACTTGAATAGAGCTATATGATTGGCTTTTGCCATTGCACGGTTTACAACTACGTCATGCAACTTTAAATTCTATTTAATAACTTACCTAATCCAAACATCAAAAATGTTATCATCATTCAACATCTATTGCACCTGCAAATATTAACTATAACTGGCATAACAGAAATTATGCAAGTGCAATCTACAGAATATCTTTAATTGCTACATAGAATCACCAATTTTTAAATTATTTTTCTAAATTTCTACTATGATATGGAGATTAAGTAGTAATGTATCTTGGTTTTATTTTTTTCTGTTTTAGGTATGTTTTTAGCTGAGATGATTGAGAAATATTTTGTGTCCCCCACACTATTCAGAGTTATCCGACTTGCCAGAATCGGTCGAATCCTGCGTCTCATTAAAGGCGCTAAGGGAATCCGCACTCTGCTTTTTGCTTTGATGATGTCTCTGCCTGCTTTGTTCAACATTGGCCTGCTGCTGTTCCTGGTCATGTTTATCTATGCGATATTTGGCATGTCCAACTTTGCCTATGTTAAGAGAGAAGCTGGTATAGATGACATGTTCAACTTCGAAACGTTTGGCAACAGCATGATCTGCCTGTTTCAAATTACCACATCTGCTGGCTGGGATGGCTTGCTAGCCCCAATTCTTAACAGTGGGGAGCCAGACTGTGACCCTAACAAAGCTCATCCAGGGAGCTCTGTGAAAGGCGACTGTGGCAACCCTTCTGTTGGGATTTTCTTCTTTGTCAGCTACATTATCATATCATTTCTGGTAGTGGTGAACATGTACATTGCTGTGATTTTGGAGAACTTTGGTGTTGCTACTGAAGAAAGTGCTGAACCCTTGAGTGAGGATGACTTTGAGATGTTCTATGAAGTCTGGGAGAAGTTTGATCCCGATGCAACACAATTCATGAAATTTGAGAAATTGTCTGATTTTGCAGCAGCACTTGACCCTCCTCTTCATCTACCCAAACCAAACAAAGTCCAGCTTATTGCAATGGATCTGCCCATGGTAAGCGGTGACAGAATTCACTGCCTTGACATCTTGTTTGCTTTCACAAAGCGTGTTTTGGGGGAAAGTGGGGAGATGGATGCTCTCAGAATCCAGATGGAAGATCGGTTTATGGCATCCAATCCTTCTAAAGCTTCCTATGAACCAATTACAACCACATTGAAACGAAAACAGGAGGAAGTATCTGCTGTCATTATTCAACGGGCTTATAGACGTCACCTTTTAAAACGAACAGTAAAACAAGCTTCCTTTATCTATAACAAAAACAAAACTGAAGGAGGGGCTCGTCAGGGTATCAAAGACGAAATCCTTATTGACAAGTTAAATGAAAACTCATTTACAGAGAAAACTGATATAACTGCATCAACAGCAGTTTGTCCGCCTTCTTATGATCGTGTAACAAGGCCAGTCAAAGAAAAGCATGAAAAGGAACATAAAGATGTTCAGAAATAAAAGCAAATAGCAAGCAAAACCATCTATGTGCAAAATCATTCATAGCCTGTAAGGATCATGTGTTCGTGTCAACTCCTGCTGGAGGTCTATGCCAAACTGACAATTTTTACAAATATACTGTACATTAAAGGTCAGTGCCTATTAAAAGACAGTGACCCCTTGTCAGTGACTGTGACTGTGTTATGGGGAAACAACCTTGACAGGAGGTTACTGTTCTCACTACCAGCTGACACTGCTGAAGAGGAGAGAAAAAATGGCTACTCAGACTGTAGGGACCAGTTAAAGGGGTGCAAACCAAGTATTTGTGTGTTTAGCATAAAACAATACAGTAACTGTATCCACTGTTTGCATTTCAACTGCCACACGTCATGTTTTTACAAAATATGTGTTGGTGGATTCATCTTATTTTTATTCATATGTTGTTTATTATATGTGACTATTTTTGTAAATGGGGCTTCTGTTGGGGAAAGGGATTAAGTACACCTTTACAGGTACAAGGTCCAGGTGTTCCATTATACAACTAATATACACACAGAAATTATTTGCATGAAGGCATGCTGCACTTATATATCATGCATGAAAATAACATTAAGTCACAAGAACAACAATTTTTTTTAGCACAGTGTTTCCGGAAAGGAATAACAGATTTTGAGGTGCTTAATTAATGTATTCATGTTGTATCACACCCAAACAAGTCTTGGTATGCCTGTAAAGTTCCCTATAACTCAGAAGAACAGTAGAGATGGATTATTTTTTGCAGAGACCATTAAGTTTCAGAAAGTGAATTTGCCTCAGCCCTCCAAATTGATTACAAAGAGCCCTTTACGAAGTTGTTCTGCTTTATCCTGCAGTATTGTTTAGCCATCTTCAGCTCTCAGTAAGGTTGATGTTGTTGTACACGTTAATGAAAAGCCCTCTGCTGTGTAAATAGTAATTTTTAACCCGTGGTGCATGTTTGAGCAAACAGATAATGACCTAAGCACATTTATTGCATCAAATATGTACCACAATAAGTGTAGTGTGCAAGCGTTCAACAGGTAAAATTACGTATTATCTACCATTATAGATAGTTTGGATGCTATCAGTGCATGTTTATATTGCCTATGCTGCTGTTCCTTTGACTGTTCAGGATTCTTAAATATGGGAAGCCATACATCAGAGTTAAATGAAATAAACTACCCAACAAGACCTCATTCCTCCATACCATTAAGCAATATTTTGCAGCTATTTAGGAGCTTATTTGTTTTACATTTTTGAATTTTCAGTGAAGAGCATATAGTGTATATCCAGATTGTACAGATATGTGAAAACTACTAAACTTGTTGAAAATAATGTTAGAATTTTATAAGCAAATATAAATACTGTAAAAATCATTTTATTTTACTTTTCAGCATTATGTACATAAAACAAGAACTGAATTTTATCTTCAGGTTAATGTCGCACCATTTTTGTTACTTTCTGTCCATAGCAATTTTTCACTGAAGAACTCCAGAGAACAAGATATACATAAGAGAATGGATAGCTGTAGGTTATTTTTTACAATATTTGCAAACATGTCAATACTTTCTGCGAAATAAGTTCATCATTTGCTTCTAAGTTTTTTTGCAGTTGGGCAATGGTGTAAAGTTCAAATTGAATGTCTAAGCAGTGCCTGAATCATAAGTTTTCAGATACCACCTTTCTTTCACAGGATCCGTAATATTTTCTCATATTTACTCACAGGTTAATTTTTTATTTTTTTTTTTAAATCATGCTGCACTAGAATGTTATCTTGGGTCCACAATATTTTTTCACAAAGAGAAATTAGCAAAATTGTATAATCTAACACATCAGGACATTTTATGTTTCCTACAGAGGCAAATTAAATATAGATTACTTTTATTAAAATTATTATTAAAATTATTGACTAATACTGTATTAGTGAACTGCATGCAGGAAAATGCTACTATTACCATAACTGATGCTAAACAACATTAATAAAGATTACCTTTTTTATTGTATGTTCCTTTTGTCTTTATTAGCTGACAATATAAAAAAGGTATGCTTCTAAAACCATAGAATGAGAGAATAGTGAAAACCTTTACACCCAGCTATGCTGTTCTTCCATGTAAGCAAATCCTTAGGACTTGCTTGTTAAGTCACCAACTAGGTATTTCTACTTCAATGCATGTTAAGACACTGAGCATGATGGTTCTGTATTCATCAATAGTACCGCCCCGAGTAACTTCATGAGTTCCTGCAGCAGCTCCATGCAGTGGGGTACTCAACCGTCAAATACCAGAGCTGTCCTGCGTGTGTACCAGTAGGCTCAGAGAATATACAAGAATGAGAACTGAGCATTTATGAGTTTACAAAGAGAAAGTGAGGACTGAAAATAGTACTAGATAGATGACACTCCCCAACTTGGATTATGAGAACTAGTTTATTCTTTCTAGTTACTTTTCACAAATAGGCTACAGAATATCTCATATTCAAGTGCACTTCTGAAAAAGGTGAATTGGCATCACAGTAAATAACCATTGGTCTTTTCCTTTGGAATTTTTAAGGATCTCTCTGGAAGCACTGCTCTCCTGGATGCTCTCATTTCCATACTGATATGGAAAAATGCAAATGAAGCTGGAAAGTGGACCTGTTGGTTATTCCTTATTAATTGCTTCGGTGAATTTCTGAAAGTGTTCATTTTATATGCTTATATAATTTTATATTGCATTCCCCTACAATTTATAATGAAAACACTCAGAGATTAATACTGAACTTGGTATAAAACCCGTTTATGAGCAATTGTATTGCATATGCCTGCTTTAATTGCTAATGCAGAAATAAAATTTCATAGCGTCTTCCCTGAAACTCTTCACAAATCACGAGGGAGGAAAATGTTCCTCCTTCAAATTGTTCTGAAATGCATTATGAAAAAAGGGCTAAAATTTTGATAAAGAACTGTAGGTATCAAAATGAAAATATAAGTATTTTCAGATTAACATGTAGACAAAATACGTCTTAAAAGGTTACTTTTAAAAGTATGTAAATTATCCACACATAAAGTCCTATGTCCAGCCGGAAAAAGCCAGCACACCAACTCCCAGAGCTTCCCCTCCCGCCTCCGGGCAGCGACAGGCGACCCCGCGCCAGCGCTGCTGAGGGAGAGCCGGCGAGACCGCC